CTCTTTGATACAAACAAAAGGGACATATATAAACCTGACTGTCTGATACTCTAATTCTCTGAATGGGCACGTGTATCTGTGTGCATGCACATATGCATACATGCACACATTCATGTGCAATCTAACTACCTATATAAATTTTCAGTAGGCAAAATATTCTGATCTTTACATTTGAAGTTATGGGCCCTATCTTGTCTTCCCTTCCTTTACTGAGTCTCCTATTCATCTCTCAAAGCCCACTTTAAATGTTACCCACACAAGTTTCCCAAGCAGTTCTTTAAACACTCCTCTGGGTTCTCTACAGTGGACTACAATGAATTTCACACTGCACTGAATTATTGGTAAATATGTTTCTCCCAACAAATTTTGAAGTATCTGTTTCATACTTATATTTTACTTACTATGCTAGACATGAGGTAGATATGAATGTCTGTGAAATAAATAACAGACGAATGAATAAATGGATGGATAACTTGATATAAGAATACAATAATCAAACTACACCCCAGAGTTAGAATTATTTAGGTTTTCCTAATCAAATTATGATACATAATTAGCAATATAGTTGTTCCTATTTCCACATTCTAATAGGATATCAGAATCCTACCTATTTTTCTAAAAAGTATCATTTGTTCACTCTGTCCTTTTAGATTGACTCTCAAAGTGAACTTGGGGTCCAAAAGAAAAGCTACACAGATGAAACAGTAAATTAATATTAAAATGCAAAAAAGTACATTTTAAATGAATTTCTGCTACACTGACACATTAATTTACTTCATAAAACTGATTCCTATGCCCCCCAAATCTCTTATTTACTTTCTTTTATAATGAAATCAGTCTTTTCAAAGTTCTTTTAGCATTTTAAAACAAAGTGTCACTTCAGTGTACTCAGCTTATGGAATGTCACATAGAGAAGAATTTCTTAAGATCCAAATTTTAGTGTATAGTAATAGAATGATCACATCTTTCTTTTCTTCTCTCAATCTCATCAAGTAAAAATGAGATATTTTTATCACTCTTTACTCCCACTACCACACCAGTGGTGATAACTGCAAACCCAGTAGAAAACCGGAGATTCTCGCCCCAGCAGAACAAGGTCTCCTCCTCAGTCTCCCCCTCACCTGCATAAGGTAGAGACCAAAGGGAAGTAACCTGCAGCCCAGGGAGCTTACCTCCCAGCTCCACACAAAAGAATATGGTAAAAAGAATCTCACTGCATAGACATTCAGGGTACACAAAAATCATCATGGGTGAGGCACATAAGACTCTCTAGTAAAGCCTAAAAAATCCAAACTGTAGAATTCTTGAGCTCCATCCAGAATGGAAAGTCATATCCCAGATGTCTAACTCAAGCTCATCATCTCAGATGAGAAAAATAAGGGCCCACTGCCTGCTCTAGTAGCAGACACAGAATGAGAATTCAACCATACTCTTGCCACTACCCTATCTTCTCTCCAGCTCAGCCATGTCCCCCTCGGGCTACACACATCAGGGACAACATAGACACAGTCCAATTAAAAATAGGAGTGGAAGACAGTGATTCTTCATTCAACTGGAGTTCTTAATACACATTGACCACATAAGCAGAGATACACTGAGGTCCATGCCTATATATCTAATGAGGTATTGAAATAAACCACAATTTTTAATTAATTTTATTCCCATGAGCATTTATTAAACACCTACGATGGACAAGGGCCCTTGCTATTTATTAGATAATATTAAGAGGAAAAATGTGGTCCACACCCTTTTGATCCATTAGTGGATACAAAAATTCATTTGGCAATACTATAAATTATACTGTTTCCAATATAATCATGGAAATATAAACAATGTATTACTGGGACCTGGAGGAAAACACAAAAAATTCTAACCAGAATAACTAGGGCTAGAGTTAGGGATGTGATGGAGGCTTTGCAAAAGAGGTGACATTTTCACTGAATCTTAAAAGGTGCTGCTTCATCAAGCAGAGAAGGGATTAGAAAGGCATTCCAGAGAAAGGGATTACCTTGACCATGTGTACTTGTCTGATTGCATGACATATTTGGAGAACATCAAATAGACTCAAATTATGTGGGGAAATGGTTACAAGAGATGATTCTCACAATGCAGATCCGGAGGAAAAATGGTTTATGAAAAGTATTGAATGCTATGCTAAACAATGTGAGCCTTATCTTTCCAAGGCAAGTATTGGAAGGGCTCTCCATGGAGAAGAGACATTTATATCTGAGTATTGAAGGTAATTCTGCCATTAATGTGGAGAATGAATTAGAGATGACAGATATTAGATACAGAGAAGCAGCCAAAAGTATGTTATGTTTCCACAAAGAAATTATAATATGGAAAAGTGTCTCTCAGAGCACACTTTCCTCAAGAGCAATTTCCAAGTCTGATGTTACTCTTTCATATGAAAAGGTATGTTTTTTCAAAAACACACATAGAAGAAGAGCCATTTTGCCTTTTCTTGGATTCCCTCCTTTGTCCAGCTGGGACTGTCAACTAGTGATGTGGCCATATAGCAAGGCACCTGCCTAACCTCTAACCATACACTTTATGTGCGCAAAAGCTCTAAACAAGGCTGTCAGGATTCACAGAAAATCTAACAAGACAGTTTGTATCCCCAAACAACATGCAAGATGGTGTTCTCCAAATTTCTACCTCCTGGGTGCCAGTTCCTGCAATATTGTCGCTGGTATTGGGTCCACATTCAATGTACTTCTCACCCTGCTCTAAGCACTGCCATTAATGAGAGCATACACAAGCAAGAGGGCAGCCATATGAGGGCAGCCATATGGTTGATGAAAAGTATTAAATGCTTTGCTAATGCAGAAAACCACTGAAGTAATCCAGATAGGGAGATGAGGCTCCACCTAGTCAACATTCCTACAGGCAACTTGCCTGAATACAAAATTAGATGTGCTCTTCTTGTCGACCAATAAGCCACAGGAGTCTGAATCATGCCGGTGATTTCATCTGACAGGCTGGTCAACTCTCAATTGGTGAGAATAAATATTCCAACAGGGCATGCAAGGCAATCTTTGGAGCAAGAAACAGATAATACAGCCCCTACTTGGATTTTCTCACTCATCATATCCTTTAAAAATGTTTACTTTGATGAATGTTTTATAAAATAACATATGAACTATAGTTTTATATATAGTTTTGAATAAATTAATATGTATATGTTGAGATACATAGTCAAAATAGCATCATTTGATGGGGTATGCATACAAAAGAAAAACAAGTTTGATGGGTTATGTGATCAGAAAAGTTTGAAGACCATTTTGATAAGCCCATAGCCCTTCCATCCACTTAAGGATAGAATTTCTGCTCTTAAAAAATATTTTATTGAATTGAACTGGGATCAACTGAATTAAATCCACATTACATACCTAAAAGTGAAATAATTGAGGGCATGAAAAAAGGAAAGCATCATTTTATATTTTTTAAGTTTAAAAGCTTCCTTCATCTTATATCTCATATATCTTTCTTTGTACTTGAAAGTGCAGACAAAAAGCCATTTAGGAAATGAATGTTTGCCTAAACCAAAAACTATGTTTAAAAATCTAAATTCAATTCTTTATTAACATTTTTTTAAAAAAATTATTCTCTTATGAAAGCACTTACTAAACATATTTAAAAATCTAAACCAATCAACCCATAGTTTAAAATTTTACCAAGGCAGAAAAGTCCTAACACGTTCTATGTGGTTAAAAATGTTGTGTTAGCCAAGCATGGTGGCATAGGGCTGCAACCTCAGAAACTTGGGTAATCGAGTCAGGAGGATCACAATTTCAAAGCCAGCCTTGTCAACTTAGTGAGACCCTGTCTCAAAATAAAAAATAAAAAGGGCTGAGGGTGGAGCTCAGTGGTAGAGCACCCCTAGGTTCAATCCCCAGTACTAGAAAAAAAAATGTGTGTTATATTCAAATGCAGGCCATCATTTCTTGTCATTTACAATCTTTGAATAAAACTTTAATATTACATATTTATACTACATATGTATGTGTGATAACGTTAAAGCAGTATATATAGAAAAACATTTGCCTTTCATTTCCATCAACTGAGGACTCCAGAACTTCTCCCAGTCTGAGTTTCTTTCAATTTTCGACTTTTCATAGCCTCAAGATTCATATTTCAGATAACTTGGATTAAATTCTCATTTGACCATTGATAATTCTAATAAAAACACTAAAAATCATTTTGTTACAAATTTTAATGTTGAAACACTAAGTTAGAATATAGCAATAAGCTTTTATTTGTATTCACATTTAGCAAAAATTAAGTCTCTACTGTGCAGCATGCACACATTTTAAGTACTGTACTTAGAGGAGTGAAGAGATACAAGGATGTAAAGTCATTCCCCTCCCTGCAGAGCAGAGACAAGGACTCTGTCTCATTCACAGTTACACCCCAGCACCCAGTATAATGCCTGGTACCTGGCAGGGCACAATATATACTTCATCACTGCCTCCCCCAGGGTCTTACAACCTAGGAAGGGTGGGAAACGAAACTGGAGGGAAAAAAGAAACTGAATACTTGCAAATAATTACAATGTTGTTATATTCTTATTCACATATAAGAATATCTGACAACAATTTCCATCTCCTTTCTCTCCTGGCATAATAGAAGTTTTATGTTGCTCAGAAAAAAGGTTTAGACTCACTGCATGGTCTATTTCTAGTTTTAATTACAATGCTTGGCAAAGCTTGGGAGATCATTTCAATTCATTTCAAAAATAACTCCCATTCAATACAAGAAGATGGGATTTTTCACAGTTGTGAATTTTTATTTACTTGATAATGAAGATGGTTTGGCATATAAATAAAGCACTTTCTTTGCAACTTTGGGTCTAGTGAAAATGCAGAGCTGATGATCTATTAATAAAAATGAATGGCTTACAGGCTCAGTTTCATTTCTAGTTCTTTTTAGTCTAGGGAAAATGCAGCTTAAATAAAACATGGGACACAGAAGCTGACAAAGTCTCTCCCAGTACTTACTGATCCATACAGCTCCCCCTTCTCGTTCATTCCGAGGTAGAGTCCACTGTCCACTCCACGAATGCTGACGAGGCCCACTGCTATACTGATAAATTCCAGAATGCCTATGAGACAAACAGCAGAAGACAGAGAACAGATTAGAGTACAGAGCTGATCCTCCAGAGTCTCAGCATCCCTGGGGGTTTACAAAGAAAGCTCAGTTCCCAATTTGAATAACTATGCATTAAAGAAGTAACACCTCTTTTAAAATCATTGCCTAAAAAAAATTTGATTTTGCAACTAAGGTCCATTCTACTATATTGATACAAAAATAGTTACCAATATGAGCCAGGTATGGTGTCTCACATACAGTCCCAACCATTTGGGAGACTGAAGCAGGAGAACTGCTTAAGTCCAGGAGTCTGAGGCCATCCAGAGTAACACAGTGAGACCCCATTTCAAAATAAGCCACCCAAACATCAACAACAACAACAACAAAAAAAAAAAACATAATTTACATAATAAAGAAAACATTTTAAAAATTCAAAAAAGATAATATCTATGTAGACATGATAAGGAATTATAGAATTGAAACACAGCCAATGAATATACTCTAATGACACTAAAAGCATAGATGAAGAAAGAAATGACCTACTTCCACTTTATAAGTGTGAAATTAAATACTAGTGTATGTGCATCTTGATCTTGGACTTCTCAGCCTCTAAAACTGTGAAAAGTAAACATCTGTTATTTAAACCAAAAGAGAAAAAGTTATTTGTGTATAGGTACATATCATAAAACATCCATTCAGAGAATGGTCTCATGTCACTCAAAATAACAGTATGAGGTGTTATCTAAAGTCTGGGTTGAAATTACTCAGCTCTTGATTGTATAACTTTATTGAGCTCCATCTGAAAAACTAAAATAGCACACACACACACACACACACACACATCCCAAATGTCTCTGCTTAAATAAAGTATTGATTTTTTGCTGTGCTTATCTAAACCTCAAAGTGACAGTTAAGCAATTAAGATAGCACAATATTCTAGAGGGGAAAATGTTGGTTTCAAAAATACTCTTGACTTAAAATAGGCATGGGATATTATATCCCCAAACCAAATCAAAATAATTATCTTCTTTTATTTCCTCTTTCCCTTTGCTTACCTCACTAAGAATAACAACACCTAAGTCGAACATAAATCCAGAATTTTATTGCCACACAACAGCAGCTTCAATTTCCCTAACTGTATTGTTGTTTTAAGATGATAATCCCACAATATATTCAGGGCACTGCTAACATTCCTTGTATTCAGCCATTCCCCAATTTTGTTATAAATTAAAATGCTATACTTTGTATAGTCTTTGGATCAATGCATACACCAGATACTGAGTTCTCATTTTTAAAATATCTCTAAATATTGAAAAATTTACTTATGTTCAAGAGTTTAGAAAGAACTCAGAGCAACACTGTACTATAGTCAGTCTCATGTGACTAATAAAAAAGCACTTACATGGATTTTTAAACAATTAATTTTGCAACTCTCACAAAACAGACTGCGCTGAAATCAAATGAAGACAAGAACTACATAAATCTAATAAAGCAAAGGATTAACTCAGAAGGAAACTCTATTCCAAGGTGATGCAAAAAAAGAAGAGCTATTTCTTCTAAAAAGGTATTTCTGATACTTTGATAAATATAAAATGTTACAGATTATCTCATGCCTAATTTACAGAATATCTATACATGCAAATTTATTTATTCTAAAATACAATGTGAAATAGTATATAGAAAAAGTATAAATCGAAATTATATATTATATTTTGAATCCAATCACCTGTATCTCTGTCATGGAAGACATATCTAAAACAGGTCAATTTATGACTAGCTTTCCCTATCTCACAAAGCAAACAAGAAGATAAATGAGGCAATATTTTCATGAGATTCATTTCACATGAGATGCACTCCCTTTTGGTGTAATCATTTTATTTCACTGTACCATTTCTAAATCATATGATTCAAAATAATCAAAATGTGACATTGTATTCCTATTAGGAATCTCATACACATGACTCTCTCCTCTGCTACCTGGAAGTGTACCACAATCTAGGTCATACTTATCCTGAAATTAGCATAAGGAGTTAATTCATATCCAATTTTCATTATAACATGAAATACAGAAAATGTTTTACCCCCATTTAGGTCCAAATGATTTAATTTACCAGGTCAATGAGGAAAGGTTTCATCATAAAACTAAAAGATACCCGTGTCCTCTAAGAAGGTATGTGATAATCTTTCTGTTTTCCCTAAACTTCAGGCAGCTCTGAGAACTAATAATGAGTATTAGACAGCATTTTCCACTAGGTGCAACACAAAACATGAGTTCACAAAACCATTTGACTGGCTGGTCTATAGATGGATAACAGTAACAACCATAGTGATCATTATAATAGCTAGAATAATTAAACACCTAATCTCTGACAAATGAGAAGCCTTTTCTCTTTCAGTTCACAGGACAACCTCAGACATTACAATATGTGCCTAGAGGGAACTGATATTTCAGAAGAGTAAATAACTTGCATCAAGTAATCATACTTTAAAGCCTATTTCTTTAACTAGTATGTATATTTTTATTTGTTTTTACTATTCTTTCAGGTATTTGTAATTTTTGTACCACTTTCATACTGCTAAGCTCCAAAATTATTATTACTGCATAATTTGGAAAGGAAACCATTAAGATATCTATGTTAGGTTTTTTCTGGTATTGACAAGATAGCTAAAATTCATCTGACTTCATTTCTCTATTCAACAAACTGTTATTGAGGGACTATCATAAGCTAAACACCATGCCATTTATTGAGTATATAAAGATTAATAACATCTGGCCAATGAACTATACCATCAAATTGCTCACCAGATACAAAAGCCCTTTCTTATCTGTGAGGGATATATTCCTTGGTGACTGAAATCACACATAGTAGTACCAAACCCTATACATATTACATTTTCTCCTATACATACATACCTAGGACAAACTTTAACTTATAAATTAGGTACAGTAAGAGATCAACAATAACTAATAAAAAAGAAAACAATTATAAAATATACTATAATAAAAGTTATTCAAAACTTATAAACTATTTATTTCTGGAATTTTCCATTTAATATTTTCACATCACACTTGCCACAGGTTACAGAAACTGTAGAAAGTTTAAATGCAGATAAGGGGGACACAACTGTAATATAAAGAACAGAAAAAAAGATAACCATGGTAATAATGTGATGACTGCAAAGACAGGAAGATGTTCAGGGCAGCATCCAAAGGTGAGTGGTTCGCTCAGATTTGGGAAGGCAAGTCAGAGGCAGCTTCCTAAAAAAATACCTGAGATAAGTCTCTGAGGAGCTATCCAAGCGAGAAGGAATGATCTAGTGACCCCAAGTGGAAAAGATTGCATCATCTCAAACCACCATCCATATCTCTGCAGCTTCCTGAAAACAGAGACGCCAAAGAAGCAGCCCAAATTTTTATGAGGTCACCTCAGAGATCCAAGGGCAAATAGAAAACCTGGGTGTATGAGTCACAGCCTTTCTCCCACACCCAGAGAACACTGATGTTGTAAGGTCAGGAAGACCTGGCAACCTGGTAATGGAATCCCACCCCAACCACACTGGAATCCTTATCCCTCCTGGTACCATGTTGTCCACAATGAACTCTATAACCTCAACTGAGCCAATTACACCCTTGCTGGGCCAGAGTTGGTGCCAGGCAAATGCTTCCAACCGTCCTCCCTCTAATACAACCCACTCCCATGTTATCTGTTTATTCACATAAACATGAGCAAGCACTCTGGACAGCACCGATGGTGCTGGATCAATAATGGCTTAGGAGGTTTCTCTGTAGAGACACTTGAATGTTTAATGATCAAGGGAAAAGAAAGGAAAAGAAGCCAGAGAGGAAGAAAGAGAATAATGAGATTGTGCCTAACATTTAAATTGTGGGCCTTACCTGTGTATCATGGCAGCTTGTGTCTTGTTCTAGCAGATACAATCTCAACACACTCAGCCTTAGAATGGCCACAGTAAGGGGTAGTGTGATGAAGTCACATGGGATACCCAAGGTCAGTGACTAGAGTCATCTCTCTATTCTCTTTCCCTGTAGCCAACAATTCCAAATGATGATTCTCTTATTGGGCCTCATATGGTCTGATGAGGTTCAGGATTGTCTGAGGACCATAAGAAACAAAGTCCATGCCTAGACTACTTCAAGAAAATGTTTACAGAATACGTTAGTCCTTGTCCCAGTCTCACGGCTATTAGTGATCAGCCTCAGAGCTGATGGCACTTCCCCAGCTCTGTCCAAATGATCCATTAGCCCCATGCTGGCCCAGCCTCCTACAGACCACCGGAACTGGTCCTCACCTTCAAGCAAGGCCAGCCATGAGAAGTGGGAGAGCAGACAGAAGCTGCCTTACCCTGGCTCACATTAAATAAGCCTTTAACCTAAAAAGCCCTCAACACTTAACAGATGTGCCCTCTGTTAAAATGCTCAAATGAGATAACAAAACATTTGCAGAAGGTAAAAAATGTTATCTATAATCCCAGATACTAAGAAGGCTGAGCAAGAGGATCACTTGAGCCCTGGACACATACATACCTACACACACATATATGTGTGTGCATAAATACACACATAAGAAAGAGAGAGATACACATACACAGATTGTTGACAGAAACATGACATGCGGCAGTCAAAATGGATGATTAAGTCTCTTCCCTGAAGATGTTAACCTAGAGAAGCCCACACCAGGGCATCCAGTAAGTCCAAATCTGTAGCAACTAGAGCAAACCAGAGTTAATTTAGGAAATGACCAACTGAATGAGACGGAGAACCCCACCAATTTTTCAAGAATCTGAAGCGAGCCTAAAAACAGCCTCTTAAAAAAGGCAGCTTTTCTCTAGTAAGACACTGAAAAGCAAGACACAAAGAATAAGACTTCTTAAAGTGCAGAACCCTGGAATTAAGTTTTTTAAAGTTCCCTTTATTTAAAAGGAAAAAAGAATCACACCATCATATTTCTTTGCTCTTGTGCAATCTCCACCTGACACCTGATTCCCTTTGAATGTGGGCAACCCCAGTTGGGGAGCTCATCTGGGGTCCTGATAAAGTCTAGCACCATGCCAAGAGGTGAACCTGGTCCAACATTCACTTTTATTATTCAACATTACCATTGCCCCAATTTTCTGATCATCCTTTTCTCCTCTCCATCTAGCAAGGCTGGAGTGCTTTGAAAGTGAAAATACATAAATATATAAAAGAAAGACGCTTGTTCCTCCAGCCTATTACCTAGAGATACAATTCCCAGTTCTTCTCCTTGCTCAACCTTTCCTCTACACAGCTACCCTCAAAGGAAAAAACAAAGGGCTCCCTTAAGGTCCCACCTAAGTTGTCCCTGCTGCAGCTCCTGCTGGAACAACACTGACTCCCCCACCCCCACACCCCCTGCACTGCTGCTGCTGTGTCACAGCCAAGCTAGCCAGCCCCTGCAGTCACCTGCAGCTGCATGGGGGCGGCAAAAATCTTTTTTCCAGCACGTTTCCTTCTGCCCTTCCATTTCAGGTAGAAAATGCACATTCTATTTTAAACAAGATGTAAACCCACCCCACCCCCCACCCAAAGCTACTCTGAAACTGAAGGTAAAGATGAAGTCCCCAGAGAGGAGCCAGAGGGAGTAGCTGGAGGCCTCTGCTGGGGGAAGGAAGAGGGTAAAAGGTGAGGCAGCAGCGGCTAGCAGGAACGCCAGGTGCGATGAGCTGCCGCAGACCCTCAGCCCCCTCCCTCTGCCCGCTAGCTCCCTCCACCCTCCGCATCGCGCCTCCGGGTCCTAGCGCCGACGCAGCCTCCTTCTGGGCGGGGCTGGAAGGCAGGAGTAGGAGGCTCCCGGCACACGCACCGCGCTGCAGAGGTTGCTAATATTGGGACCTGCCGCAGAGGCAGCAGCGGGAGACCGCGGCACTGCTGTCACCCCGGGGGCCCGTTTCTCACTGCAACCGGATGAAAGACTTAAATAACCCTCCTGCCTCACACTCCTTCCCCACCCCCACTGCGCACAGCCACCCACTCAGCTCCATCCAAACGAGGGTGAGTGGCACGGCGATGCGCTAGCGCCCTTCCCCCGCCACCGACACAGGGCCGACCTACTAGCTAGCGGCCCGGGCGCCACGGGTCCCCAACCTGGGCCGGGACTTCCGCTCTCCACCAATCAAACACCGCCCCCCCACACACACACACACACTGCCGAAGATCCTAAGGAGTAGCGATGTCACTTCCTTGGCGACACCTTTCTCCAACCTCTAGGATCGAGGAAGGGTGAGGAGATACAGTTTTTTGTTCAATGCTCTCTTATTCGACCGCTGTACCTGTAGTCCTTTTCCGCTGACCCCAGAACGTGCCTCTCTCGCTTTCCCCACCCGCGTGGTCCCCACCCTTGCATCCTTGCTCTCCTCGGTGACAGTTACTGAATTTCTGGTGACTTGCTTTCGTGTGGTAAACGTCCTACCCTAAAGGTGACTGCATTAAAAAAATTAATAAAAAAGCCATGGGGGAGGTACGTGGAGAAGCCCCAACTACAACATCCTATAATCTCTCCACACCAGGGCACCATCGTGCTGCACCCGGGAAAATTCACACAATGAAGCTGGTCCCAGCCGGCCGGGACGCCCCTGCAGCTGTGCGCCCCCTCCATACCCTGGCACTCACCGCCGGCTACCCCCAGCCCGGAGGCGGGCACTGAAGTGGGAGCGCAGAAAAACCGGCCCGCGGAGCCCTACTCTTCGAAAGCTGTTAACAATAGCACACCGCCCCCTCCGCCCGCCTCCGCGGCCCTTTGTCCCTCACCCCTTCCCCTGCAGCTCTGACCCTTTTCCTCGCCCAGGGACCCCGACCCACCTCCCGGACCACGTAGAGCCCTTCGACTCTCCAAAACCCAGCTGCGCGCTTCAGAAAGAGGGGGAGGGACAAGGAATGAGACTGCGGAGCTCAGAGATCCGACCTCCAGCCTGTCCTCAGTCCCCGCCACCAACTCTCTTGCAGCGGCGCGCGCCTCCAGCCGTTCCCACACCGCAAACCACCGCGCTGCCCCGGGCGGCGGCTGTCAGCACTGCCAGACCTACACTCACACAAAGAGAAAGCGAAGGGACTGAACTTGGGCAAAAATGAAAACTCAGATCCTCTAAATTCGGTTAGAAGTGTGTCAGACCCTGCCCACCGCCCCTAGACACGAGTCGTCCCGGCAGCATCGGGGGCGCACCCGATCCGGGTGGAAAGGGAGTCAGAAACCGAGAGCGTTTAGGACCGCGCGGAGCTCTCCGGGCAGCCGCCTAGTGCGCTGCGGGGCCGGGGCGACGGAGCCCGCACCTGCCGGCCGCGAGCGCGGGAGGGCTGGGACTCGGGCTGCAGGCGCACCTAACTGGCCGCCCACGCCACACTCTGGCTGCTCGCGCTGCCAGGCTAGTGGCCGCTGGGGACTCGGACACACTCGCTCTCCCACCCACGGCCGCCCACCTCCTGTTGTTCTGGTACTGAATGCTAAGCACGGTAGCAGCCCTTAAAGCGGCCAGCTAGAAAAGCACTTTTCCTAAAGTTCCGTCTTCCCTTGCAACAACCAGAAGCTACGTTTACTTCTGGGGCGCTGGGAGAACAGTTACATTTTAACTTAATAATTGTACAGCTTTTTTTTTTTTTTAAGCGGTGAGGGAAGAAGGCTAGAGAAATTTACTATTTACCGCTCTGGGCTCAGGCTCAGTAAAGATCCAAAGGAGAAAAAACTGGGCCTCGAGTATCTGAAACTATCCTCATCTCAGGCCTGAGCCCTTCTCACCTTCTGGCATCATCTACAGTCCAACGAAGCTAAACATGTAGTTTAGATTGTGCTCCACATCTGGCATTAAAGCATGAGGAAGAAAAATCACCACAGGACTTTGTTTTTTACGACCTAGTTTAAGTGTTGTCAGGTGGGTTCACTCAGAAGTTAACTCCTTCCAACAGTCTGGTTGCCCAAACTGGCGCTTAATTTAAAAAAAAAAAAAAGTAAAGGGGGGAAAAATAAAAGCTAGATTCCTCCCACCCTAATCAGGACTATGTTGGTTGACTTTGTGCTGTAGGGCTAAAGGTGCCTCAGCAGGCACGTGTGTGCAGGCATCAAAACGGGCAGAGTCACCACCCTCCAGTCTGCAGCCCTCAGTGCTGAGTCACAAATACCCTCCTAGGAAAATGAAATCCTCGGAATGCCCTTTAAAATTAGCTTGCAGCTTTTACACGGGCATGCACACACTCACATCAGAGAACCATTCAGGAAACCCACACAGGGCTGCACACTGTAGAAATTAAAAAATAGAGGTTATAACTTGATAACTAGAAGGACAAACACCCCTGGTGAGCATTCTGTCCTTTCCCAAGTCATTTTCCCCAAAGCCTCTGTCCCTGCTATTCAGAGTCTAAAATATGACTTTAGCCCTCCTCCCAACAGAACAATCAGTCAGCAATCTTCGCCTACGGGGCTTTTCAGACACACTTGGGGGGAATAAACAATACAATTAATTTACAATTCAAGCAGAATACTTATTAGAGGAAAAGGGGAAATCTTAATCTGAGCATAATATACTCACTGCCTTAAGGAAACTGAATGCATTTTTAAGTACTTAGTAGTTAATGATTAAAGCTTTAAACTCGTAGAATCAGTCCATTCAAAAGAAACTTCCTAAATCCGATCTTCCCATGTATTTGATGCAAAAGAACTAAGGACTTGTGTTATATTCATAGTCATGCCCTCTCTTAAAAAAAAAAAAAAAAGGCCTTTCAACGTAGACTTGCATTGGTGCCAGCGACAGATCTGCAATTCCGGAGGCTTTTCCCCCCCTGAGCTGGCAAGGCAGAGAGAGAGGAGAGAGCGAGAGAGAGAAGAGAGGTCCCTTCCCGCACCCCCCCCCGCCCAACCACCACCTTCTTCTTGGTAGTTACAGTCCAACATGTCATCGTATGGACACTATAGGGTTAATGGTATACCTACCAAAGCGGCTGTGGTCTTTCCTGGTTCCCTGGATAGTACCATTGGGGAAGATTTCTAAGTGAAATCCAGTCCTGCAGTATAGCTGCCTCCGCCTGAGAATCCCCTTTAAATGATCCAAGTCCGTGACTGCGGGTCCCCTGGGGAGCCCCCCTGCTTCGGACTGACCCAGGTGGTCACTTAACAAAACCGGGCTGTCCACCGGCAACACGGGTACATTCCCAAACGGTACCGCATCCTGTACACCGAAATAGTTCCCAACTTCACCTAAGGGAGCCATCAGAAGACTCGGCTTTTGGAGCACAAGAATAAACAATAATGATGGTGTCAACCCAGGAGATATTAGGCGAGGTATATCCAACTCCCCTCCCTTACTGCAGTTGCAGGGAGAGAGGGAAAAAAAAGGTTCTTTTCTTCAATCCATTAAATGCATAAATAAAAGTAATCTGCTGCTTCACTGGCACAGGTTCAAGGTCAAACCACTGATAGTCTAAGAAACCACCACTTTATACTCACACACTGACATATTGATAAGCATATCTATGTATCTCTATAGATAGATCCCCAGCTCTTAGCAGGCAGGAAGGTCTTCATCCCATCCGACCGTAATAAGGAAAAAAAATCCGTAGTTTCTCCATTTGCTTTGAGATCAGAATGACCATAGCAACTTAAATGCCTAGGCGTTATTATAGGGATTTTTAAGATGCACGGGCTACGTCAGAATTTACGGATCCTGACTCCAGGAAGGCATGCGCTGTTTTTACTCTCTAACCGACTCTGCAGACATCAGCATGAATCCTTCAAGGGGGTCAAAAAATCTCACGGTTGTGGCGGCGACAAATCTCCCCTCCCAGTCCCCCCTCCAAAAAAAAAAATAATAATAATAAAACAAAAAGAAGGAAAAACTTTAGGCGTCCAAAGCTAGTATCCAGAAATCTCGAGAGGCTCGGCAGAGGTCCATTGGCTTAGAACCGGTGGCCAGCGGCAAGCGAGGAGAGCCGCGTCCGGGAGCTCGCGTGCCGCCCTGGCTGCCGCGAACAGGTGTTGCCGCGCCGGCTCGCGGAGCGTTGTAGCCGGGCGGAGCGCTCCTCCTGCGCAGCCCCCGCCGGCGCGCAGAGTGGCGCAGGCAGCGGCATTGGGCTGGGTTTAAGGTAGCGCCCGGCCGCCCGGGCTCCCCGCGGTCCTAGCGCTCGTCCTTCTGCCCGCGTCGCTCTGCGGCAGGCGGGGCGCAGCCATGCAGAGCGCGGAACTTCCTGGGAAGACGGCCGGGGAACCCTGGCTTCATAAAGAAAAGCCAATGAAAGATGCACAGCCCGAGGCAGGCTGAGACCCCAAGTTCTCCTGCTTAAGAGAAGCTGGTAAACTGAAATCTAGCTCGCTACATTGAGTGAAACTGGGAAACTAGTTTTCACGTGGACGCTGTAATTTTGCGTCGCATTCTAAAATGTGACTTAGTCGAGTTGAGGGAAGGGGATGGTTTCACGGGCTTTGATGGACATGGCAGTTTTTCTTTCCTCCTTCAGCCAGACACAGAAGAGCAAACTAGATTGCAG